GAACTAATTGCCATAATAGAGCTCTCTTACATGCTTCAGGGTCAACAACAATCAATACTAAAAAAAAAAATTAAAACAAACAAACAAAGAAACATACTAAAAGATATGATTGATAATGTGATTTCACAAAATGGCGCCTTGATGACGTCACGATGACCTGATGACCTTGAAAATGTTCCTGTCACGTCTTGTGACAATGACCTATGACTGTGCCAAATTTGAAAGAAATTGACAAAACAGATCTTGAGTTATCCTAGGCACAAAAAAGCGAAGAAATAAATAAAAATAAATGAATAAAGAAAGAAAGAAAAAAAAGAAAATTAAAAAAGAAAACAAAATTAATAGGTGGTCTGTCGATGACAGACCACCTAAAAGGCCTACAAGGCAGATTCATTGGCAATTTTCTCTATTTTTTTCACAAAAGATATACTTGTCCTTGGGCAAGGACAGAAGCACACCAACTGCTCTGCAAGACACAACAAAGGTTCATGGTACTCTATATGGGACAATAAATCAGTGAAAAAAATACACGGGGGCTCAGGGCGAATTTGCCCCCGAAATGCCTAAAACAGCCCCCGAAAATCAGAAAAGAGCCCCAGTAAATTTGCATAGAGTTCAATGCAAAACAAATTTTAGAGTGTTATTTTTATGAAGGCAAGCCCGAAAAGTAGCCCCCGAAAAATAAATATTATTTTTTTCCCTGCAATAAATCCTTCGTTAGAAGGAAGGGCGGACATCCCTGACTGGAAGACTGTTCCCATCACGAGGGCCGTCTCTGTTGAACCCAGCCATGTAGGATCATAATAGGAACATGAAGGTGAGTAAGATTAAAGAAAGACACGAGGAAAGCATGGCCTATATGGGTGCTGAGAGGACTACCCTCAGGGTTTAATGTAATCTAGCCTAATTAATTAGCCAAGATACTTCCCACAAGCAGGCAAAGGAATTATCCATCTTCCTGTCTTTGTAACATATCTCACATCTATATCAGGTCACCTAACCTTAATTGCTTTAAACAGGGATCAGACACGGATATGGCCTTGGAGTTTTCTACAAAGGGAACACAATGACTTCCAGTTTCAGAATGACTTCAGCTTCAAAATTTTAAGTTTGTTAGTTGAGTTCACCCCGAGAAGAGTAATACAACATTGCTTTGCATGAACATAAAAAGGATACAAAAGCTTTTTATCAAAACGTGAATATTGCTAGTCTGCATAAAGGGTAGACTCAATTACATTCAAGAAAGTGCAAGTATCCTTTGAAGTTAAGGCAAGCCTGAGATGCAAGGTTTGCATATTGGATTTGTTAAGGTAAATAAAATTTTCTTTGATGTTGCTCATCATTGATATTTTCCATAAACTCCAAATTGAGATATCCCTGCATTCACTGTCAAAGTGTTAAAAATGGTGAGAACTTCATTCTGGTATTTTTAACTAGTTCCATCAGTTCCATTTGAAGCCAGATTGGCATTTAGTCATAGCTATACTTTAAAACTGACCAAAAGAAAGACTTCTTCCCAATCCGATAGATGTCAAGTGCAATTTTATATATAAAAAGTCATTCCTGAATCTGTCTTTGATAATTACCAATGAACCACCCACTTTCCTTGATTCTAAAACGGATGCATCGAGTCTATAAACGACTTCCTAATGTCTGCAAGAAATCATTGTATTACCCTTCTATATGTCCATTATCCAATAATACACCATCCCACACAAGGAGTGTTTCCATTATCTGAAAGATGGGTAGAGTGATAACTACTGCCTTTCATAGTATCATATTGATTGTCAGTTTTCAGCTCAGCACAGCACAGCTTACACCTGCTGTTTACATTTACATTCTGAATTACAGTGCATTCATGCCAAGTATAGCACCTCCACAGTATTCCATTTTTGAAAAAGTGGTAACAGTGTTATCAACTATATGATTGATCACAACTCCCTCAGTTAGTATAATGAAAACTTGCTTCTACTCAAAGTCAGTGATCTTTACAGAATATGAAACACAGTATCTAAATATGGAAACATCTCACTTAATGGATTCTGAAGTGGAACGGGGAGGATCTTTTCACTTGTCGGACAGGTCAAGCGCAGAGAGCGGGGAAGAGCCTTGAAGGTCAAGACATGGTCTTCAGGAAGTTTGTGTCTCAATGCTCGTCTGAAGATGGGACCGTTTCTCAGGAAAAGGGAAATGCAACCACAAGGTTACCAGGAAGAGGGATGTAATTTCTACCGGTACTTGGGATGTGCAAAGTGTGGACACACTTCATGGGCTTGAACTTGAAGGCTGTTTGTGTGAAGAACTCAAAGAATAATACAGGTACGGGAGAACATTCAGGTATGATATGAGTTTCATTTCCAAATTCCAAATCAATCAGTACAACATACAGCAAATGCAGTAAGAGGGTACAATGGCTGCGTTGGTCAAATACTTAAAAGACATTTTTCAAATAAGTCCACTTTTCCTTGTCAAAATTGCATCTGAACATGAAAGATTTTATTCAATCGACAAGAAAATTGAAAAGCCGGATTGAGACATCCTTGTATGGATCCACAGGGGAGGCAAAAGTAAAAACAAGTTTTTGACCTTGAGTTGGTCTTTAATAAGAAACGTATGGATACCACATCTGCAATGAGATGGATACTTCCCTTCATGAAAAAAAAACAGGATGGGGAATATACAAGAATAACAAACATATGATTTACACATGCATCCCAGACAGGGATATATACAGAAAACTAGATATTCATAAAGAGAATTTAGAACAAGTATGTCTTTAGGGGGTAAGAAGGAGGAAAGCAGAAGCAAAGAAAAAGAAAAGAATATGAACAGATCATGACATGACAAGATGAAGGAAAATAAGCTTATCAACTGCAAAACAGGAAGAAGAAACCATGAAAAGCATAAAAATAAACAAATAGTATGGAAGAGCCAGCATGGCATTACGTTCTATCATTATGTATAGAAAGACTAGAATACAAAATGCTAAGTCTTCCTATCTGTTTGTTTGATTCCACATTGACTGAATAAATTGGAAGTTTTTATAAGATCTGTAATGAAATAGAACAGTGGCTTTACTTTGGGGGATGTGGTTGGCTGGAAGATGAGATTCATTTGGATGTCCTTCATCCTTTCCCAGGAAGGGTGATCTTTATTCTGGTGTGTCCCATCAGTTACATCTGGGCATGAGCACTCACCAAGGAACTACTACTATCTAGATTGATCTCAAAACTAGGTTTCATTGCCAAGGAAAAACATACCCTAACTGTCAGATGCAACTCTTCTAACAATTATAAGATGTCAGATCATGTACAGATAACATCCCTCAATGCTGAGAACAGACACATCTTGGATCTACTATAAAACTATATCACTACTCTGTCAATAAGGAGATGTTCATACTTGATTTGTGATTTCTTTAAAACAGCTAGATTTCTTCTATAATTTACACCTTTTAATTGGAAAAGGGTATTTTCTTCACTTAAAGAGGAAACACTGGGATGAAATACACGGAGAGGCTGACTAACTGAATACCATGTATTTGAACTGACATTCTTCGGGTCAACATTTTACAGCATGAACAAAACAGAAAAATGTATCATGAGACCATAAACATAATATGAAATAAGTAATATTTCTTGTTTCAACAATGAAGAACAACAGACTACTAACAGAGAGGACTGGATTTCGTAATAGACGGCACAATCTCAAAATGTGGCTTCCACCAAAAATCTGTTTTATTGATGTTCAAAAACAAAGCCAAAATAGAGAATAAAGAAAATGTTGAAAAGACACGAGAGGGAGAAGGAGAGGGGGATTTGGGAGAGGGGGATTTTGGAGAGGGAAAGGGGGAGGTTGATGAAGCAGTTGGGCGAGGGGCGAGGGGGAGGGAGAGGTAGAGTGCTAAGATAAAGGGGTGCAGAGTCCTAGAGAAGAGTCTTGTTTTGAGGAACTTACATCACACCCTAAGGAATAGAGGGCCTTATCTTCTCAGACATTGATGAGAGAGAGGACATGGGTCCTTGTTTTCTTGTAATATTCCCCAAAGGTCAAGCAGTATATGAGAACACTCTGGAGTGGTTACCGAGGTTGATGACTTGGCTTGGCAATGATCCCACATTACAACCCCCTCTTCTCTTCCTTTCACTTACTCCCTCCCTCTATCTATCTTATCTATCTTTATCTAAAGCCAAACATCCCCAATTTCTTTCCATTCTATTATATATTTAGTTTCTGTCTTCTTCAATTTTCAACTTCAAATTTAATTTATCATCCTTTTCTCTCAGCTTCTTCACATCTCCCTCCCACCCCACCCCTCACCCCCCCCCCCCCCACTCTCTCTCTCTCTCTCTCTTCCTCACTCTCTCTCTCTCAAATTCTAATCTTGTTATATTTAGTTTTTTCTCTTTTTTTTCGTTATTAAGCTTTCATAAAATCAATGACTAATTTGCATGTGCCCTTTATCAACCAATTTACAATCCAGCTTATTAAAGAATTAAAGCTAGGTCTTGTTCACTTTTACAGTCAATATCTACTTATGTGGGCTAACATCCTTAAAAAGTTCATGAAGGATAGGCCTACACAAAAAATGTTCTATAGTGAGAACAAAGATGGTAATGTATTGAGATTAAGATATTGGCTTCTGAAAGTAAGCACAAACAAACCATGGTGCTATCATCATATATATATATTATATGTGTTAGCAAGGTTGAATGAGATCATCACAATTCTTTAAGACTTTATTCCAGATTAGACTTAAGCCAATACTTAGAGGCCTAACCTAAAAGGTGAACAGCCAAATGTATAGTCTAAGGTTAGAAATCTCAAGCGTTAAACCATTTATGTCAAAGGCACATACTGTATTCAGCCCTGACACTCCTTGCCCCATTCTAATACAGAGTTATCTGTAATTCCTTGACATGTAAATTCATGTCTTAATCCACAGGCACTAGATGTGTGCAGATGACAACGGTTTATGATTATTTTGTCTTATACATTACCTGTTTGGAAAGGTCTTTGTTCCAGAACTTGACTGTGCCATCATTGGAGGCTGAAATAATGTGCTGCTGGCTGAGAGCTAGACTAGTCATTCCTCCTTGTATCTGTATAGAGAATAAGAGACAGAGATAGGAAAGGATATAACTTAACTATCAATATACCGTAAACACTTTACACCATCCATCATTTCAGAACTAAAGTAATAGAAATCATCTATTAAAAAGAATATTAAATAACATATATTTTCTTTACATCCAAAAGGGTTTGAATTAGGATCATTGAAATAGGTTCAAATATATGTAGAGAAGAAAGGTATGATAAGGCATATTACATACTACATGTATGTTCCAATAATTACCAAAAAGAAAATTTCCATGTCAATCATTGTTATTCTGTAAATCAATTTGGTAAAATTACTATTTACTGTGAAAAAACTGTACCCTTATGAAAAGGATATCATAAAAGTAGCTAGAGAAAAACATAGGCATGAATCCTTTATCAAATTAATTGTTCTCAAAAAGTGGTTAAAAACTTTCAAAATGCTATTTCATTGGATTTAGGAAAGATGTAAATATGAAAAATATATGTACATGTACTATGTAAGCAGTAGATGAATACAAGCATTTTTTTTAATTTGGAAAAGTAGTAGTGTTTACCTGGAATGATTATTGAGAAAATTAGCTGGAGAACTAATTACATGAGACACTATCATCGAATTCCCCAAAGTTATTTTCTCCCTTGGTACTGCATGCGTAACCAGAAATAAATCTGACATTAACTATTGATGCAATGCACTTTCCAAAAACTAAATATATACCTGTGGTCTCATAAAAATGATATTACTTAGTTCAAGGAAGTACTACATACCGGTATGCTATGTTTATGAGTGAGAAGGGGAAAAGGTGCTCTGTAATCTTGTAATTCAAGGGTTAATATCAGTAAGGAAACCCATGACTTGGAAAATACCACACAATTTCTAAAAATAAATGCTGTGTTTGCTAAGTTCATTCACTCTTAATTAGGAGACAGCATAGAATAAAAGCCCACATACGTGCCAAATAACCACCTAGCACCGCTTGTTGGAGTTATAATTAGTAAAGGCTTTCCTTCCTCATAGAAAACAGTAGGTATGTTTTCATCAGCTCGAGATTGCCAAATAGCCCGCTATTTCTGATTTGGGAAATAATCCAGACGTTACAAATCGCATCTTTATCAGCTCGAGACTCGATCTCGAAACTTGAAACACGAGCTCGGGAAATTAGCTCGAGATATTTTGCTCAGCGTTTGCGCATAGTGCGAGTCTTCGGGCTGGTGAAGACGCATCGGACAAATAGCTGGATATTTCGAAAACTAGCCCAAGATATCTTGGAATGATTATCTCGACCAAATATCCCGCTAACTGCAACTTCGGGCTGATGAAAATGCAAATTAATTGGATAAAATGCGATCAGGATAGTTAAAATAGCGGGATATTTGGCAACCTCGAGCTGATGAAGACAGGCCTAGAGAGGTCTTTTTTTATACCGAGGGAGAATAGATGTTGAAGGTTAATGGATTGGTCCGATTGAACATTGGAAGATTTATGATCATCAAGTATTGGTAGAGAGAAAGTCTATTTGTTAAGAGCTTGCTTTATTGCATTCTCCATCATGAGCAAATTGAAGACTATGGCACACACACATTTTCATCATTGTCATTATGTTAGATTGACTTTGCCAACCTGTTTACATTTTGTCAATATCTTTTTTTTAAATGAAACTGGCAGAATGACTCCACATTTATGTCAGAAATCTTTTTCCTACTAAATGCTGGGATTTAAGAGAGGTGTAACTGTTACTTTGGAAGAATTTGATCATCAGGCAAGCCATTACTACACAGTATTTTGTTGGTAGATTGGTGATCTGTCTACGAAGGTTGGGTTTGATATAATTACCTAGAATAATCATTATAAAATGCTGTATTCATGAGCTTACTTTGATTTAATTCATTCATCTTATAATTTATAAATGTTTTGACTGTGTCACATACTCACATTCTTATTCATATATGTGTGTATCAGACAGACACAACAGTTTTTTTTTTACTTGGTTTGCACTGTTTCTGCCATGGTTAGCTGTCTGTTTGTATTTTTATTTGTGATTGAAATCCAACCTGACCTACATTTTTTTCTATTCCTACGAAATACAGCAGTTGAATGCCACTATAAAAGATAAAACATCCTGTCAATGTTGCTGGATATCACCACACCTGACAGAGTGGCCTCCGGTGATCAATTTGACCATGATAGGTCCATGGTTTGACCCTCAATCAGCTAATAAAATATAAAAACCTAGTTGTATCAAGGAGGTATCTCCTTGGTTGTATTCTCTTAAAGGTATTAGCATTGACCTGTATAGATTATCCATCTGCATTGAAAAATTCCCATTTAGTATAAATCTCTTGAAGTGTAGATCTAAATTTCCACTTCTTGACATATATGTTGATAGGAATCAAAGGTATTAATCGGTTTTGAATTAAAACAAAAAAATTCAGATCAGCATTATTTACAGATAAAACTTTGTGTCAGCCTATCTGAATAAAAAAGTTGGGCGATGTTATCATTATGCAGATGTTATCCAGATTCCTCCTAAGGGAATGACTTTATATAGCTTTTTAGAGAAATATTGCATGTTTCTGTGTTTCTGTCTTGTACATAAGTACTTTTTTTTTCCTTCCAGAATTGAAAGCAATGTCCCAAATACCTTTAAAAGCCAATGCCTATGACTCATGAGATTGCAGTTGTTTCTTTCAAGTTTTGAGCTGCACCTGAGCTATCAATTTTTCAAAGTCATAAAATTCTAGATGAATTCCCGTTGATGAGTACTGGTCATCGAGGGCAGCTAACCCAATAAAATCTTGGCATTCACGAGTGTTTACTCCAAGCAGCTCGAAGGAAGCGGCCCTACGCGCTCCTCGCCAATTTTGACGCAGCTTCTGTCATGCGTTAGTTCATATTATGTAATTGGAATGACAATTATGAATTTCATTGTTGTATTAGCTGATGAGGTATAATGAGCGCAAAGGGGGAAGAGGGCAGGGTCGGAAGGGAGGAGACGATAATGAGTTTACATCAGGCCCATTTAATCTTCCCAAACACCATTTTTTTAAATCATTGATTTTTTGGACTGCTATTTACAATACTGGAAAAACCCATAAAAAACAGGAGAGTTTGCTCATACCAATTTTTGGTTAGTAGTGTGCAAGGGGTACTTGTCGCTACTCTGCATGCGATCGCATAGAAGCAAGGAGAATCATGTGAAGAAAAACCTTAATTGTAGCAAAGTTCTGATTTACACTGCAAAAATCTTTGAAATTTAGGCAGGCGTTTCAAAAAACCACATTCCAGAGGTGGACTTTTTTTTCTTTTTTTCTCTTCTTCGAAACACCAGGGACCCGTTTCACAAAGCTATTTTCCAATGACAAATGACAAAAATCAGTGACAAATCTGCTGATAACCAATCAGAAGCAAGGATTTCAGTAGCTCATAACAAAAACTGTCATTTGTCACTGATGACAAGTTTTGTGAAATGGGGCCCAGAATGTGAGAAAATGGACAGTTTTTGATAGCAGTGTAAATGCAGCTATTCCTTCAATCGGATGTATCGTCTACCAATCACAACAACATTATCTCCTTTCCTCATGGTTAAGTAATCTAATTCATGTTTATTGGGTGTTTATTCCAAGAGGGCCGAGAGGGAGGCATTACAAGATGAGAGGGGCAGAGGTCTGAGATGTCCCTCTTACTGAATGATTAATCACTGTTCGTTTGGATCAATAGTAAAGACAATATTGACACAACTTATGATTACCGGTAATAAGGATTGTGTGACTGATTGTGTGACTGATTGTGTGACTGATTGTGTGACTGATTGTGTGACTGATTGTGTGACTGATTGTGTGACTGATTGTGTGACTGATTGTGTGACTGATTATGTGACTGATGGCGTCACTGATTACGAGACCGATTGTGTGACTGATTGTGTAATTGATTGTGTGACTGATTGTGTGATAGATTGTGTGACTGATTGTGTAATTGATTGTGTGACTGATTGTGTGATAGATTGTGTGACTGATTGTGTAATTGATTGTGTGACTGATTGTGTGACTGATTGTGTGACTGATTTTGTGAGTGAGTAGATTGGACAGCTGACTGTTTTACAGAATGAAAACTAGATACTGTTCTATTTGCTAAAGCCATTAGATTTATTTTTCATTTTTTAGGTTTCATACTTCCATTCAATCATAATGTATAACTTCTGAGCAGATTTAATACTTTTCTACACAATTTTTTTTCATTTTGTTAAAAATTGAATATATTCCAAGAAAATATTTCTTCTGATAAGTTGGAGCAAGTAAATTTGATGTTTGGCTGAGTAACAATATGCTCTTCCCCCTACTGGACAAGTAGTAACAGATTTTTTTAGTACCCTGTCCCATATAATCAAATGAGTAATTATTGAGTGACTGGGTATGAATAGTTGGTGTGAATTGCATCATGATCTAATAAGGATAGAGGTGGGAAAGAGCAAATTACTTTAAATTGTGTCAGTGTCTCCAAGAAAACAAACCTTGGCCACTGAGCATCATGCTCAACTTTGCTAGATCATTTTTGTAATATATTCAAATCACAAATTTAAAGGATATCATGGCTCAAAAATAATGCAATGATATTGAAAGTGTTATTAGTTATGCCAATGACATGGCAAGTATAAATGCATACTTTCTTATGATATTTGATTGTCTACTTATCAAACTAAAATCCCTTCCTTGTCAAATCAATTCAATTCATCCAGGTATGAATTTCAGAATTTGGCTTCAAGCTCGAGGATGCAAAGATGAATTTGAACATTTCCTTAACCCAATTTAATTTATTTATTTTTTCTTCACAAGTTAAAAACAAATTTTACAATGCAATGTACGTTCATAAGAGTGTTATATAGGATATGTTTGTGTATAGAATATGCTCATATTTGCAAAACTGTTGACAAATTCTAAAGATAAGAAAAGGATTTAATCAAGCATCTGTCTTCACCCAGCAAGTGCTGCTGTAGGGTGCGCTCAAAGA